TGATGCAATGCATTTAAGCAGGATCGCTTCACTCGAGATTCACTGAGTTACTATTAGGTTGGAAGGGAAGTTCTGTCAGTGTTTTTTGAAAAGCTTACAGTTTTAACATGCTATGCTTGTAGGACACTCTGGGAGCTTTCCTGCAAGAGGCGTGTGAGGGCGCCTGCTCTTCCCTGGGTTTAATTACGATGTCAGTTTCACAGGAGTATCTTCGGGTCATCATCTTCTATCAGTGGCCCCGCGGCACTGGAGCCACGGCAGCTGTCCGTAACATCAACAGTGCATTGAGGGAGGACACCACTACCGTCAGGATCGTTCACTTTTAGTTCGCTCGCTTCGCGAAAAGAGACTCGATCCTCGAAGACAAACCTTGGTTGGGACGGCCCCAAGAAGTATAAGACTCCACCATTCTCGAAGCAGACAAGGGGGATCCAGAGGCTACCACCCGCAGTCTTGCGACAAGACTCGGATGTACCTAACTGACAGTCGTCCACCGCCTGTAAGCCCTTGACTACCAAAAAGTACTGGCTCGATGGATCACTCATACCTTGACCGATGGCACGCTGTGCACCCGGGTACCCCTTGATCACAGTACCTTCTGTCTCTCTTAAGGAGGAGGTCCATCCAAGCAGTCCAAACGGGCATCTATTTCGAGCAGGTTCTCCTGTGCTGCTCCTGGGACGCGAGGGGATGCTGCAGAACGAGCTGCCTGTAAGAACACACGATCACCGCCACCATTTGTGTCGCTCAGCTCCCGAAACGAGTGAAAATTGTTGGAGAAAAATGACCGAGACTAGCTTCGGGTCACCTCGTTCGTAGTACACGAGACCCCATACCTGCTATGAAGACCTACCAAATAATTGAGGAGCAAGGCTGGAAGACCAGTCCCCGCTCATAATATTCTCCTGACGTAGTCCCCTACGACTGCTACCTGCTCCGCCTCCTTAAGGCTTTCTTAGCTAAGAAAACTTTCAGCAATTTTGATGACATCAGTCGAGAGGGCGCTGACTTACTCTACTCGCAGCCTTCTCAGTTCTGGGAGGAGGGGAATGCTTACCTGTCCATTGGGTGGAGCACTGTAGTGGCTAATATGACGAGTATATTGTTGACTAAAAATAAAAAAAGGAAAAAGTCACAACAGTGACAAGACTTTCCTTCCAACCTATATTGACTTGTGCAGCATAGAAATAACACAACATGCTAGTATGTTACGATGACTGCACTAATTGAGGCATTTGCGCCGTAATGGAACATAATTTCTTGCTGATGTTTGAACTTATTCTACTCCGTAAAAATTCGTATCTGAAGTCGGTAGCCACATCTTGTTGTCCGAGATCCATACCTTGTGAGCTGGAACTGATAGTAGCATCACGTCCGTTGTCCTCCGCTCCAATCAAGCTTGATCGTATGTCCAAACGAGCACACCCCGAGCTATATCTGAAAGAAGTCCCGTGCGGAGCGCTTGCCGCAGGATCAATCTGAACGGCAACATAGTTTGTGACTGAAGTGAGCTGTTCGGACTCCTTTTTTTCGTTACTGTTCTGAAGACTTTGAAAGAAAACGCCTCTACTGGTTCCCCAAAAGGGATCAAGTTAACCTCAGACCCCAGGGTGCCTGACGCAAACAACATTAACACACTTACACATCGTACTTTGCACGCTTTGTACAAGCATGTAACACTCTAATGAGTGACTGTAGACTCATGGGACAGAGCCGAGACATCCCTTCATAGCGTGTTCCGGTATATCGGTAAGCACAAGCGAAGCACTCCTCCGAATAATCAAAACGTTCGTTTTCGCAGCCTCATTCCGTATACGGAAAATGTATCAGGTGACACACTTCTGTGATGCATGAAATAAGGAGCACGATGGGAACGCTGCTCGAACTCCCGAAATTCACTTGCTTTAGAGACAGCCTTCGCGCTCGAGTAGTACATGGTCGTCCTTCCTTGTGCAAGTAGTACAGCCCCCAAGCTAGAGACTATCCCACTCTCGCGACTCCACAGCGAGCGAGGAGCGAGCTACAGCGCTGAAAGTTCTAGTTCTAACGCCCGCCCAGTTGGACCGCCCACTTGCTATGCCCTCTGACGGAGAGCCGCTCAGTTGTTCTTTGTTGGGGCGGCGGGCATTAATCGGAATTGCATGCCTTTTTGCTGACCGCGCTCGTGCCCATGAATGATTCTGCTCTCCTTTATTACATTTTATTTATTAGGAGCACATACAGTCAACTCCAACCCATCTTGCAAGGTAAAACGCGTAAAAATCACGAGCGACCCAATTTTCGTGGTGCAAAAGCTCGACGCACCACACTACACTAAAAGATGCACGCTACCGTAACCCTAAATTCAGACGCCTAGTTTTTGAAAGTTTTTTTTCCTTTCAAGAGTTTTTCTTCCGTGTTTTTGTTGTTTTTCGTATTCTTTTCATTGCATTGGATGATACCCACTACTGGGTGATAAAGGAAATTGTGAGCCAGGGGTTGCACAGAGACCGCAGGAAGGTGTGACTGCCAGGGAGCGATTTTGTTTATAGTGTTCTTGAGGACTCTTCTTGCTTTTTTTCTTCTTTGGGGAATTACTTATCAGCTACTGTTTCATAATTGAAAAGCAACTATCCATGACACTTTTATCGCGGGAGCTGTCTTTAACATTCATACGTGAGAATGTGAACACGTCCCGCCCTGTCGCGGTACGCGACTGTGGCCTCGGGCGCACCCTGCGCCTGGGCTCTGCCGCGCTCTACGGCCAAACCGCGCGCTGCACCGTCAACCAATAGGCGTGTGCCACGTGACGCCACGCCGCGTGCTGCTACTATAAAAGCGGCCGGCGGAGAGGCTCCCGCGCGGAGCTCTCTTGGCGTCCCTTCCCTGCTGGGAGGAGAGTACCCCTCTCCTGCCAGTTGAGAAGGTCGATGCCTGGCTCACGTGGAGTGGAAGCCCGAGTGGCACCAGACGCTGCGAGGGCTGACACTCGCGCAAGCCGGCAGAGTGCCGCCTTACCGCTCTTATCGCTAATGGTATCAATCATGGATCGATGGGTTGGTCGTCCAGAACGGCAGGGATGAGTATAGGAAGGAAGATTGGTATCATTACTTTCCGCCGCAATAGATGTGATATTTTATATGTTGTGTGTGTATGTTAGGGCAGATACGGTTGGAGCGCCAGGCGGTGGCTCGACTAATGCGCTGTAGGTTGCTATGTCATGTTGTATTGTATCGGTTGTGCGTCCAGCGACCAGGAAACCCCTTGTCTGGTCCTTGTGGCCGGGCCAGGGGGAGGCCAGCGTAGGGACAGTGCTACCGCAAGTTCCCCCCCGGCCCCCCCCCCCCCCCCCCCCCCTCTTGGGATAGGAACCCTGTAGACCCTCGGGGAGCGGAGGCTGCACTGGGGAGAGACCAGTGCGGTCCCCGAGGAGGACCCTTAGGATGACGTGAGTTCCTGGATTCGGGACTCACGGGGCTCTGAACCATCTCGATGCGTCGGTTCGAGGGTCAAGAAGGGCGACTGCCTCTGAACCACGACATGCCCACTATGCAGCCAGAAACCCAGAAAAGCTAAACTATCAATGAAGGGACTGCCGTGCTCATGATGCCTAACTTGGTACTATGTTCAACTTGATACTTCCCACAGGGCCACCTAACCAGGGTCACATTCCTTAAAGGATCGCCTCTTCTGAGATCGGTTTGAAGCATTCAAAACAAGATTAACGCAGTTGCGCCCATCGCAAAGTAAAATGCGGTATTCTGGCTCTATCTTATGCCCAGGCTCTTTGACAGAACTCCCCTGGATCTGGTTCATCGAAAATATTGACAAATAATAAGAGGAAAGGTTGAAGTGTTGGGGATTTCTCTCTAGAACTTGGAGTGCTCCGAACTGCAGCGTTGGAGCGCTCGGTCGCCAACCCGCGATCGCAGCTGCAATTGCGAAGTCTGAACGCTGCCAATCCAAACCATCACCAGTATCCAGAAACAAAGTGTATTAAGTTGTAATGCTTCAGTGTTTTCTGACACCATTTATTGTGATAATTCTTGCTTTTCGCAGCCGATCTCGTCATCAAAAAGTTATAATATACATGTAATAACCACAAAGGAGTGCATAATTACTATAATGCACGAGTTTTTTTGGGGATACTCCGGAAGAAAACCTATTTTTTTTAAAGATATTTGGGAGGAAAACCATTAAATAACCACGTTATGATCAACAGCCAACGGTGAGGCTTGCCGTTTACGTGTAGCGTGGACGGGTCGGAAGAAATTATTCAAATAATCTGATCAAATATATGGTTTTCATTCTCTTGCGATCTAGTTTTGGTGATTGTTTTTTGGCTAGTCGTAGTCCTTCTCTTTATTGGATTTTAATAGTGTTGTATTTCGTTGTTTCGCTTTTTCAAGACGATTTATGCATTTAGTTTTGCTCTTTTTAACCGTTGTAGGAGGTAAATGTCACTACTTGTGGTGGGAATGTCTTCAAGAGTTTCTGTTAGCTAATAACCAATTACTTCTGCCAAACGAAGTTGCTAGATGAAACTTTATTGGCCTAACGTTTCGACCTTCTCGTCTTCTCCACAGGCCGAAACGTCATGCCGAGGTTACAGGGACAACGTGGATTCTGTTACTATTAGCTTTGAGGAATGATTTATCTCCTCCTATCTCCGGGGAGTATTAATTCCGATGTATTTTGCGAAGAGTACACTGCGGTCATACACTGCGGTCATTTATGTTCGACCGGTAAAAAGTTATAGTGAACATAATGTGGACCTTACGAATACTTTTTCTACTACGGCCGGAGCCTTTTCGTAAAATTTATCACTAGGCGAAACCCCAGAACATCAGATTACTGGTTGTATACCTTACAATTTGCTGGAAAGAGTTCATGTCTGCATAATACCGACTTTCTCCTCGCCTTTATCTTCTAGTCAAAAGCCATCACAAATTTGTCTCGCTCGAATTTTTTCCACTGAGATGGCGTTCTAGTAAGTTGTTCAATATTTAGGGCCCATGAAGGAGTCCGTTATAGAGAAATATGTGCACGATGCTTTACAATTCATTTTTCCGAAGAACTGCTTTGAAGAGCTGATCATCAACTTCAACGTCTTTCATCGTGAGTTTGATATTCTTTGGCACTTTGTATTCTTCGTTTGAATATCTATTTTTCTTTAGCAACATGTCCGAAGATGGTGTTAAGCCGCGTACTTGGAATCGGTATCACAGCCGGTTCTATTCTTCTATTCGTACCTCAGATTATAAAGATCTTCAATGGAAAAAGCGCTAAAGTAGGTCTGAGTAAGGCCTTTCTCTTCTTAACATTTCTTCCTTTACTTGCAGTTTCTTTTTTAATGAGAACTAAGGTAATGCTCATAGTTTTCAGGGAATCTCTCTCGTTTCACAGCTTCTTGCTCTTATAGCTGCCGCTGGTACTGCCTCTTACAGTTTCAACAAGGGATTTGTATTCAGGTGAATAGAATTCCAATCGGCTTTGCAGTAACAAGTAACACACCGGGTCGTTTATCAGTTCCTGCCAGCATACCTAGCCATACTGCAAGTTCTTCTAAACGTACTTAGACATTTTGTAAAGAGATGTATAGTTTGTAACGTCGCAATCAGTCGGGGGCGGAATGAGGAGGGCGGTATGAGCCTGTCTCCGGCTGCTTTGCTTCACCAATGGTGATCGGCGAGTCATCGATTCAGGGAGAAAATAACCTATGGCGCCAGTGGTGAGGTCATTCCATCATTCTTGAAATCGACCCGACTGATTGCGATGTTACCAAGTATACTGCTAGTATCACTATATCACTATAGCCTTACGGCATCGTGGTACGGAGATTAGCAGAGTGTTTCCTTGCCATTTGACTTGACACAATGCAGCGCTGCCCCAGTGAATCGGTTGGGTCCTGGCGCAAATGAAATGCGAGGTCTCCACCGCTGCGACTCGGGACTCGTGATATACAGCCTTTTCTGAGAGCCCATAAACATGTAAACTTTAGGGACAGCGAAAATGAATTTGATTCTTGTGGGACCATACTGTCTGGAAAAGAGCAAAATAAGCGGAGAGAAGAGAAAGAAAGAAGGAAAGAGAAAAGTGTTGAAGGGGGAGGACGGTGCGACGAAACGCTTTTGTTCCCGTATAGGCGAACAGTCTGGTTCGGTATCTTCCTCCATAGCCTTTTTACCTCTCTTCTTTTCCATGCAGTACTTTTTTCAGCCAATGGGGTGATTCGTTTTTTGTTTCTGTACAACTGATGATTATCGTTATGCAGATATTATACTATTCGGACGCTAGTGCTTACGCTTTTGCATTTTTCGCTTTCTGGTGAGTTTCCTTTATTTCTCAGTCATTCTGGTTTTCATTTATTTAACGTTGTTTCTAGCTGGGCATTTGTTTTTGCGGTTATTGGAAGCTATGTCCCTTCCGAAGTACTCACGATTATACAAACTCTAGGCATTCCTATTACTGTGGCCTCCAAGGTGAGTGTTTGCTTTAAAGGCATATTCCGCGATTATCTGTAGCATTTCCCGGGGGCACAGAGCCGTGGATTTTCGCTTTTACTTTTTACGTTGATCTTTACTCTTGTAGTAACTTTCGCAACGGAAAGTGTGTGGCAAAGGGTGACTTGCGATCGATTTCCTCGCCCATATTGTGTCTGCGCTTTGGCTCTCGCTCCCACGTTTTTTGGATTCTTGCCTCCTTACTGAGTGTCTCTTTTTTGCATGCTCGTCCTGTACTGAAAACTGACCGGGCACAATTGGGGGTTCTTATATGCTTTCTTCTGTTTATTCTATTCCATCGTTGAACGATCATTTGGCACTTACTATCCAGATATGTCGGACGTTGGGGTCCCAAGGGGGCCGTATTCGGTCGCTGGAGGGAGGAGACTCGCAATAGTGTGAAAAATCTTCTGACTATCGATTATTCCCTTCTCTTGCGCTGGCAGAGCTGTGAAATTACTGGTCCTGGTAGTTGATCGGAAGTGTTTGCTGCTCTGCCTCACCCCCCCCCCTACGCGTTGGGCGGCAAATCATCAAATTTCTGGGTAAGTTTGTTTGTTAGTGAAAGTGGGGGTGGGGGGGGTCGCACCTCAGTAGCAATTTCGAGGGAGAGGCCTACTTTGCCAAAATGTTTCTCAACGCCAATACGTGCCTTACTGCTGACGAGTACTTGGCCCCTCCTGCCCGTTCATTGCAATTGCGAAGCGATGCTTCACAACAAAATGAAACTGACTGACTGATCTGACTTTCCCTTCTGAGTTTTCTAGCATTCTGCTTAATAAAAGGGAAGAAATCTATTATTGCAATTCCCACCCGTGCTTCGCATTTTTTATCGATTATGGTGTTTTTCAGACGATTCAAGCCTGGCAGAATTACAAGGATCAGAGTACCGGCCAGCTATCTCTAGTTTCAGTGTTACTACAGTTAGCAGGTTTGTTTAAGATCTTTAAAATTTATTGAAGATCATTTACAGAAATTTTAACACTTTCGAACTTGCTCTTGCTGTTAGCTTGTTCTGTATGACTACCTTAAAATCAGACCCTTCGCTTGTGCCAAGTAGGAGGCCCAGCCCGGTTGACGAACCGTACCACTTTTGCCACTCTAACGTGCTTGTAAAAAAGCTGGAAGCTTACCAGAGTTTGATGCTCCCGATGTCTCCGCCGGTCATGAGATACTTAATACGGCCACGTGATGTGCAACTTCTCCCTGAGATAATTTTCCGGTGTGAACGTTTGGTTGAGGCCACTGAGCTTTCATTTGGGGTGATGTCAAATTCCACGTCTTCACGATCTGAGTCAGACCTACCGAGCACTATCTAGGTAAGAGAGCACAGTCGAGCAGTGTTAATCATTTGGCTGTATCGTATCGAGTTATGGGCGAAGACATCATAGAGCATCGAACTATTCCAAGCATTCAGCTCTGTTGTTATGTACTTCCGAGTGACCAGATCGGAGTGGCACACTTCTAGAGCTGCTGCGTCATAACTTCCACACCATGAAGCATAACGATATACTACCCGTCGAGTTATCAAACCCTCGTATCGTAGAGTGTTCTTTTAGGCGGCAGTGTTAAGGGATATTACATGGCTCGAAGAAAGTGCAGAAAAATTAGGAGGACCAAAGTTTTATTGGGCAGTAGACCTCCAGAGGTCCGTAAAAGAATCCAAAAAGTTCTTATGAAGTAAAAATATTTTTGTTTCTTCCTTCAAATATTTCGGGCGCTTAGGGCTTTCCTCAGCGAATTTGAAATGAAGCAGTTTAGGGAAATGGAGTGTCGTCTGTGCCTGCCTCCAACACGTTGACGACATCATACATCATAGCGGGCGGAGGCCGGGGGCGGGGGGGGGGGGGGGGGCCCTTGATCGCACACGCATCGAAATCCCTCGGATGTGGTAACGAGTGGCTGCGTACTTGCAAATACTTCAACTAAACGATGGCGGTGGTTCTGTTTTTGATGAGATATTTTCTTTAACACGAAATGATATTGTCTCTGTCCAACAGAGAACAAGATGACAGTTGTCTCATACTGAAAATTCCACGAGTGGTCGATTCTACACCGTGCTCAGATGCCATGCCTACTCTGTCTCAGGAAGGAGTGTACCTCCATTAGTTGTGAGCAGGGACCTTTGCGGGAGCCGCGCCTACCGAAAGTACGACAAATGAGTCACGTACTTTCGGTGCTGCTGAACCGAGTGTTTGATACCAGATGCCGCCAATTTAATATAGCTGTTCGGCTTGAGGTGGGGCACTTGGACTTTTTTTCTACTTCCAAGCTTTCAAGTAGAGATCTATGAAAACTTGTCAAGCCAGAAGGGGTATCAAATTTGTCACCTCTTGAAAAGAGACCTGCCAATTCTTCAAAGCGAATGAGCAAGACAACGGGGAGTGCAAATGGCGAATTGCTACCAAAGTTCGAACTGGGGCCCTTTAATTCGATCCAATAATTTTGGAATTTTTACGCTACATGAAGCGCTTGCCGCCAACTTTTCCTTGACTTGGTAGCTTATGCATGAATGATTGGGTGCTGGACGATTAGACGGTTCAGCGTCGAAGAGAACTGGTAGAAGCTACCTAACGACTGGTCATATTCCTGTTTTTCTTTGTGGATACAATTTGGCTTATTCCAGGTACCATTGCACGGGTCTTCACTTCAGTTCAAGATACCGGTGATACGCTGTTGATCGTTTCGTTTGCAATAGCAGCAGTTTTGAATGCCGTCCTTTTCGTACAATTCTTCCTTTATTGGAATGAGGCTAAACGTAAGAAGATGCGCTAATCCCTTCTTTAAAAAAAACAGTATTCTTTGTTGTTTTGTTACTTGTGTCTCGCTGAAGTAATAACCGTGAGTCGTTTTTAAACACACACACCCTAATTTATAAAGTGTTTATCGGTTGTGACAAAGTCGTAGAAATAACTTGACCAATAAAGTATTACGTTGATCTTTTTCATTCATTTCTCATGTGGTAGTAGTATCCACTACTTGATTTCCTTTCTTTCCATTTTTCCTTTTAAAAAGGCCGACGAAAGGCTGTAAGGATCAATTAGGTCGGAATGGCTGCTACTAGCCCCACTCCGGGCCTTTTGCGGAGGTTGGGTGTAAGCTTTGTTGAGTACTGGCGCAGAATAGCCAACGACTATCGGATAGTTTGTTAAAGAAACTGCTTCATGCTTGGTAGAAAAAGCCGTTCAAAAGCCTGTGAGCTCATTTTATTTGTCTTGGTTCAGACTCAGATTTCAATTATGATGTTTCTTGTAAAATTTCAGGCGTGTACTTTACTGGTTTGGGCTCTCTTGTGTATGCTTATCGTACAAATCCTAGTGAATTAAGGACGATGAATGAATTAAGAGAGTTACGTCAGAGAATGACATTGTTGCCGGCATCTATACATAATAAAGAAACAGGTAAGTGGCCCCTGCAGCGCCTGTATATGTGACAAGACCATCGCAATATTGCCACTGCTAGTGATGTGACTGAGGCGACGTCTCCCCGCACGAGACGAGTTAGGCCGTTTGATTGAATGTGTATGAAACGGACGAGAAAGATCGATAGCACTCAGCTTGGAGTCTTACCCTCGCTTGAGTCGTTTCGGTGCTCCAGTCGGCAACCTGATGCGGGCTAATGCCGTTTGGACCTCCAGAAATTTGGCTCCGCATGCTCATTTAAGAAGTGGCAAGATCCCAAGTTCCGCTAAGCTTGTATAAAGGGGTAATTCAATATCCTGATCACGAATATTACATTCATTTTTGGCGCTGGCGCTAATGGATGACACTAGGGTTGCCTGCTTACCTGCGCTCTGCTAAGGCTGAGCCCAGGAGGTAATCGTAGTGTCCTCACTTGGAGCTAGCGCCAAAAATGAGTGTCATACTCGTATCAGGATGTTGAATTACCTAAAATAACAAGTTTTTAGTGGATTTGGTGGCTTAGGCAATTTGAAAATGAGCTCGGAGCCGAAATTTCTGGAGTCCAAACGGCATTAGCCCCTGATGCGCACCCAGAAATTGTCTTCAGCATCGCCGCCAATGCGCTACATGCGACGGCGCGGCCAGAATTGTGCGATTTTCTGTCCGCCTACCGCAACCGTTAAAATAATGATTAAAGTTTCTCATTCTACTAGCCATTACAGATGCGGAGTTAGCAGAACGATCCTTGCTTCTCAATCAAAATCGTTTACATTACTACAATTTGTGGTTTTTCTCGTTACTGGTGCAATCTACACATGATAGTGCTGTGAGTTTTCGCTTGTTGTTCATGATTTGTCAAAGACAGCTGATTTTCAACTGAGGAAAGCTAAGCTTTTGCTAGGCAGATGGCAGTTTTTTGTGGGGTGACGTACAAGGCAGGAGGGGGTGGTCAAAAAGGACACCTGTCCATAAATTCCACCCCTTAAACATATTTTGCATTGAGTGACAAGATAACTGGACTTCCTGAACACTTTTATCGGCCTCTAGTCTCAGTTCTTGTATCATCAGTATCCGTACCTGTGTACCTGGAATTGCAGAGGTTTTGACTATCAACTGTACCTGTAGGTTCGAGTCAATTGAAAACAAATTATATGGTATAACAGCATTGTTTGAACAATTTGGCGCTCGGTGTTTTTAATTACCAGAGAATTAGCTTGCAGGACCTACACGAGGTTGAATCAGCCCTGGAAATACGTACTGTCTAAGAATGACGCAAATTATGTAGGGCTTTTTGAACACGACGGCGATAATGAATGACTCCACGTTCTCGTTACAATGAAGCTAGTCTTGGGAGCAGTTCCGCTGGAACACTGTCCGGTTGCGGCAAATTCGTGCTTGATATGCGTCGCAATATCGACAGGGTGCATGCAGGAGGCTGGAATGAGCTGACCCGGGTGCCTTTCAGTCCAGTTCTGTGCTTGGTCAGCTAGAAAACAACCAGTGTGGAACACGCTGCGACTGCGCTCATTTACGCCTTCTGTGCCACCGCCATATTTGCTCAAATATACAACTGTATTGTACTGTCTACGTCCAGCAGAATCTAACTATAAGATGACAGTTGTCAAATAGGAACACTTGAACAATTCTCGTCCTACTCAGCCATGTTCAAATGAAGAGCTCAGCTATATCTTGCCGGCATCCGTGATTTGGAGTGTACCCAATCTACACGACAGTCTACAATTTTTCGTTCTAGGTAAGGATATATGAGTCTCAAGACACAAATCTCAAGGACTGGGCAGTGGTCGAATTCTTCAATAACATTTATGACGTTGGAGTTTGGTAGATGGAGACGACTAGAACAAAAATTCAAGGATTATGATATCAATCAGGAGGAACTCAACCAGTTACCTGATTAGGTGGCAGTTTTGTTTTTTTTTTCTTGTTATTTTATTGTTACATAGATCCTGATGACGGCACAACGATTGGGCGAGTAAAGGGGACGTGGTTGGGGCGCAGCCAGGAGTAGCCTTCCCCACCGAGTCAGTAATTATTTGTGGAAAAGGCTGCCGTGCTGCGCGCCGGTCCACTCCCCTTCACACCCCCTCTCGTTTTCAGGGATAAAGATTCTAGCTGCTGTGATGATCCGCTAGAGATGTTAGACAGTTTTATGTAGGTAGAAAACTGTAAGAAATAGGTATTTATTACAATCATGATTTGTACGAGTATCACAGTGTGAATATCCCTGTTGAAATAAATCTCTGTGCTTTATGTAAGGAGTTAAGTAGGGGATGTTCACTGGGGCTAAAATGCAGTAACTATCACAAATGCGATACAAGGAATGCTCAATTAAAACGTAGAAATGCTAGTAATCGAAGAACTATCTAGCGTTGTATGTAAAAAAAATCGAATCTAAACTATACTGCCTCTTAAAAGGAAGATAGCAAAGCGCTTCTTCAGATACTGTGTTCTCACAGGACAGAAGGTTAGGTGCGACACAAATCGATACTAGTGCTGATCATGTTAATTGATTGGTTATATAAGAAGGGAAAGGTAATAATCTGCGTAAAATTCCCCTTTTTCCTCTACCTTTGTGAGAACCAGTGTAACAATGCCCTTAGTTATTATACAACACTACAGTAACATGAGAAACTGTTAAAAAGATCAAATTAAAATCGGTAGCACGACAACTATATTCAAAGTAACCATGATTATGGCAAATATGGAATAGATGACTATTGCATATGGCCCAGTAGTTATATTTGAAAGGACTTGAGTGTTTCTTCG